TTTTAAAGTTTCGGTATCGATTCAACGTAGGGCCGCCCAGTGACGAAAGTCTCCCAAACCAAGTGTCCTAGGGACTTCGTGGTTAAAGGTCTAATGTTTGATTAATGCGTAGGTAATGCGTATCTGATGCGCGGTACGAAAATGGCAGGAAATAAATTAAAGCCGCCTGTAATTGTTTTATTCAACTGAAAATATAGGTGAAAAGTCTGTGAAAAGAACAACAAGACCAGGAAAACTGTAATTGCAACGCTTATTGGTTAGTAAAAGCAGCCTTTTGACCAAGAGATTAAAAAAAGAAAGCCCATAGACCAGGAAAACTATTAGAGCAACTCCTATTGTTGTTAGCCGGCCTCACTGTGAATCCCTACCGCAATTTCCTTACAGATTTTTCAGATCACCTGCAAGAATCTCGTTCATAAAGAGGGACACGTGGAAAAAATTGATTTCTCTCTCCTGCTTCATTAGATTACTCCTGTTTCTTGGGGAGATGTGCAAAAATTTTTTTATCAACTATCCTAGGAATACGCCAGGCAACAGAAATTGTCTGGCATGTTTTTTGATGTAGGATATCAAACAGCTGTCTGAACTGAAGCTAAAGTAGCATGTATGTCACTGTGCCGTAGGGCATGAATATTCACTGACATGAGCTCTTAAAATATACCTTGAACACGAAGAAGCCATTTCCAAAATATGTATGCTCGAACAGTCCACCTGAGATAGTTAAAAATAGGGTATTAAAAGCTTACCCATTGTATGAGCACCATCATCCACTTATGAAAAAGTATAAGCTTAACTATGAAACAACTCTGTAGCAAAACTCGCTCGTAATCTTTTTGAGGCCATACATGGTTCTAAGTAGTGAGTGGAGGCTAACCTGAATGGTTTATACATCGAATTCTAATGAGTAGTGACAAGTTATCAACTGATCATTTTTGTCAGCCCTCATCAAACCAATGCAAATGTACAATTAGGCAGATTATTAATAAATGAATGAATGACATGAATGGTTTAATAGTGAACCAAGCTTAGCACCGTAGATTCTAGCATTACTCCCCATTCTAAATTCACGTTTTCTGGAATTTAACACCAGTCCACCTGGATAACGGGAATGCTCCTATTCCAGTTCTCTGAAGGAGGATCAAAATCTCGGTCTTATTTTAAAATACAGTGTCTGATGAAAAACATGCTCAACTATGATAATTGTGATCTATGTTTCGCAGATACAAAATGCGATTACTTGCAAGCAAACTCGAACCAATCTGGAGACTGGAATCGATGACTCTGTCTCGCCTCCGCTGCCCGGTAAGATGCTTATGGCGCTCTTTTGGCTTCTCTTGGGTGTTAAAACGTCAGCGACATAAAGTACAGACTCGAAAGCTCGCCAGGAGATTGTGACACACCAGGTGACACAGTCATTCGGGTGTAAAGGACGCAATCATGTGGTGGATATAGAAAACCACTATCAAATACGGTGATAAAGCAGTGTGCACTATCATCAATAAGTCTTTTGTGTTAGACATAAAGTAGGGTTGTATTGTGAATTTTGCGTCATATCTGCAGACTTCCAAGTGTATGTTGGGTTTCAGTAAAATCGATTTATACTCTTCTTGACTGGCATACCTGAGTTTCAAGGAGCAGTTCTTGCTCCCCGAGTACTACAGGAGCAGTAATTGTACGCCAGCTAGGTGCAATGCACAGGCGACATCTTTGCGAAGCCGCGAAACGGCGGCACAGTTAAATCGGTACCGTTATCACATAGGCAGAAACATAAATTCAACTAAATTGGCTTCGAATCACAGGTCTCATGGGAATCCGGTCCGGATGTACAGTCAATTGCAAATCTCATGAAATGCATGAATTTTTACAAGAATATCCCAAGCTGCGTTCCCCAAAGTCTTACAGCAGCAAAGGAACCATCCGTGTTAAAAAGCCGACATATTGCGTTATACCAAGTACAAATAATAGCCTTTTTGGAAGGATGGAAAATTCTGAAAAGGGTGAAAATGGGGGTTACTAAGTTGATTTACGCGTGAAATGTAAAGAAGGTCTGCTCATGCAAAATACTGAATAAACAAAGCAACAGAAGTAGAATTACGTTTTGAAATCATCCGATACACAGGCGTCCATAATACGCGCAATGTAAACTACAGCTGTTACCAAACAGCCCAAAATTCGAGTATGTATTCCAACATGGTTTCACGAGACTCGTCCATTGTTTCTTCACTTAATACATTGTTCGAAAGATCTTGAAATAAGGCATCCACATTTAGCTTGACTGCCTCCATTGGGACGTCACACGAGTAGGATATTTTGTATTTATTTTCTAGTTCAACATATAAAAAACGGGGCCTTTTGATCAGCAGTGTTTAATTGGGTAAAAAATTCCTTGGATATCAAGAAACGTTGGATTTGGACCACGTTGAACCACGTTGTCCTTCAATACACTGGTCTGAACTGAACTTGTTTCCAGTAAACATCATTTTCCGCCTCGCGTCAATTCAATAAACAAGATAAACAACATTAAATACCATCAACGTCAATGAAAAATAATCTCAAACATGTGTTAAACCATTACCATATATTTTACATTTCATATTTCATGATTTAGCTAATTATGAAGCACGGTTAGTAAAATTCAGAGGATTATTTCGGCACACCTCGAATGTTGTGCATTATATTCATTCATTTTACTAAATCCGCAAAGCGACCTTTGTATTTGGAATAGGCTTCTATGCATTTTCATCGGAAATAAAGTATAAAACTCCTGTGGAACTTGACTTTAGTAAATATATTCTGACAATTGCTGATGTGACTGACAGTTTTAAATCAAATCGGCGAGCTTTTCTTTTTTGTTGAAAGCATTAATATAGGTGGAAAATGGCTTTCGGTCCACGTCAGTTGGATGAAGCAAAATATAATTACGTCCGTTAATTTCAACAAGTGCAAATTGTTTATTCTTATCAAAATTACAATGATAAGAGCCTATTACATAAAGACCCATGGTAGCACCACACAGGCAATAGTGGGTTTTAGAGTACCTCTTTTTTCTTGA